AAAGAGTATAATAGGAAATAGTACGGAAGATAGATTGATTTGGAAAGAGATGAGAGACTTTAATAATTTTTTTAAAAAGGGAAGAAAGTATTTTGGGGGTAGGATAAGTGGTAAGTATTTATTGATTGTATTATAACAAATAGTATTCAAATAATACAGGCAACAATCTTTGGGTACGTAAGGGAACAACAGTCAAGTTAAGAGATGTCAAGTAAAGTTTTTTTTTATTCTGTGGGAAGAAAATTACGGGGGATAGTCCGAGATAATGAATTGTATAGATGATTTTTTTTTTGCAACGCAGACGTAATTCATTTGTATGGTTGTATTTATTCTGTATGTTGTGAGGGGTTTTGGTTTGGAACATACTGGACGGAAAGGCTTGTGTGTGTGTCCTCTTTCCAAGACAAAAAGCCGGCTGCCTCTTTCAAAAGAGAAAATGATTTCATGCTGTCTCCAAACCTTTACTGCTCGCACGTTGATTGGTCAAAAAAGTGATGTGCAACGTCACAGCATGCAATTGCTATCCATATTAGGAAAGACCAGAGTCGGGGTCGCGTCTTGCTTTATATTTGAAAGTCATCAAATGACAATATAAATAGTATTTTAAAGACAAAAACAGACAATACTACACCGTGGCACATACACACATCAGGCCCATCCAAGCATTCTTTATAAATTTCTTCCCTTTTTCTTTATTGACTAAGAGAAGTTAGAATTTTTATGTGGAAATCCGTGATGAACTTCTTTTGAAGTGCATCAAATATATTTTTTAATTACGGGAAATTAATCCAATATCATAGAATATAAAATTCGTAATAAATTTATAATAAAAAAGTAAAGGAGTAAGTTTCATTTATTTTAAAATCAATCCGTTTTAAGTCAAGAGAAAAAAAAAAAAAAAAAAAAAAAAGCTTTTAATGATATTAAAAATCAAGAATTTCGTAATTGGGTGTCCGCGGAAAAGTCGGGATGAGATAACCCTTTATGTCTGCTAGTAAATAATATCAA